GGGGCTGGTCTGGTCTGGGCTGGGGCTGGGGCTGGACTGGGGCCGGGGCTGGGGCTGGGGCTGGGACTAGGCTGGAGCTGGGCTGGGCTGGGGCTGCAGCACACTCTGCCCTAAAACCTGTCTTCAGAGGTTGATGGCAGGTGTTTTTCCCCTTTTCAGATCCCACGCTGTGGAGCACAGACCATGTCCGGCAGTGGCTGGAGTGGGCCGTGAAAGAGTATGGCCTTCCGGATGTGGACATCTTATTATTCCAGAATATTGACGGCAAGGAGCTGTGCAAGATGACCAAGGACGACTTCCAGCGGCTCACCCCGAGCTACAACGCTGACATCCTGCTCTCCCACCTCCACTACCTCAGAGAGAGTAAGCCGCCCCTCCCCACCAGGAGCACTGGCTGTCCCCGGGGGCTCATGGGCCTGAGCTACAGAGGGTCCAGACACAGGGGTGGACAGCAGCTTCCTGCCCTCCCCCCTTGCCTGTTTCGGACCCAAGGGGTCAATGTGCTAGAAGGTCGTGGACGTAGGTGAACAAGACGTCACCCGTGAGAAGTAGTGAGTGCTTTTCTTTAAAGCCACCATAGCTCAGGGCCCCCTCCCGCAGGTCCCTGTGGGCAGGAAGGTAGAGTGTCCCAGGGAAAAGACACATTCTGCGGTCACTCTCTCACTGGTCTCCACAGTGCCCTAAATTGAAATAGAAGCACCACAGCCAGGTGCCTGCTTGAGGGGAATCTTCCCGGAAGCGGAGCCAGGGCCCTTCACGCCCAGCCCAGCACAAGGAGGGAGGTTTTCACTTCATCAAGACAGTCAGCATCACCGGACGGAGGGGGCATGGCATACTGGTGACCAGGCTAGGGAACAGAGCATCTGCGGTAGGCTTTAGTTCTGCACCGCCAGGCATGGCCAGGAGAGCGTGGAGGGGCAGAGACCCCCTGCGTGGCTTTGCCCAGTGTGCCAGTCACTTCTCCCTGGAGAAGGGCGGCCCCGATGGGGGTTGAACATGCTGAGCGGGTGATGTGGGTATTTCCCCCAGTCCCTGATGAGAGCACGGGGCTGGTGGTTTCCTCTCTTTCTCTCTTTTCTTTCTTCTTTCTTTTTATTAAGGGAAGTCTTTTTTCATTTGGATGTTGCTCTTTGTTGTGTCTTGTAGCTCCTCTTCCACATTTGACTTCCGATGATGTGGATAAAGCCTTACAAAACTCGCCACGGTTAATGCACGCTAGAAACACAGGTAATGCCAGCCCCGCCCACCCCAGGAGGAGCACAGGGCCCCGTCTGCAGGTGCATGCTGAGGGCGAAATCAGGACCAGTCAGGGCATCAGAAGGCAGGACACAGGGCAGTTGGTGGTCCTTGTGTCTAAAGGAGGTTGAACTTCAGCCTACCTTGGCTGGATTACAGCATTCTGCTGCTGGTCCCAACGCGTCCACCTTGCTGACTACAGAATAGACATGTACAGCTTGTTTGGTGTAGCGGGATCCCCAGTAATCTCCATTTTCCCCCACTAGGATTCCCAAGGGATTGCTTACTACAAGTTGGGGTTGTGTTTTTCTTCCTGATACAGTTTTGGGTCATCAGACTTGTCTGGCTCAGACGTGTTTGTTGGGGAAAGGCAGTCAAGAGAATGTCTGTAACTTTTCTGGAACTTTGGCTCTGAGGGAAATTCTGCTCTAACTGGAGAGTAGGACGGTGGTCACTAACCCCATGCCTCTCTCTCTCTCTAACCACTGGTTCTACACTTCACCTATATATGGCCTACTGGGGTGGAACCCAGAGCTTCCTTCTGGATAACCCTCCTCCCTTCCCTCCGGCTCAGTTGAGCATGGGTTCTCTGCGGGTGGGTGTGCTCTTGATCTGCCTCCATTTCCTCCCTCCTGATGGAGTCGCTGTGGAAGCAGGGCCACATACCGCTCATCCACTGGGTAGCCTGCAGGGACCCTCCACAACCACCCAGGCTAGGGGGGAAAACAGCAAGGCCTAGAGGCTTGGTGGGCCTCAAAGGCAAGCCAGCCAGCTCAGGGGCCACCCTCCTGGAGAGACACAGCCATTTCCCAAGTGTTCAACCTTCTATTTGAAAATGTGCAACTTGAGTGAATCCTAGTTTGACTGTTATGATGAAATTGCTGTTTCTCTCATTCTATATTCAAAAGATCATGCTTTTAATGTAACATAACAAATGCTTTTCAATTCAACCTGCTAATGATCTTGTGGCCAGAAACAACAAATAACGGGCAAAGTAATGTCCCCCTCTGAGGAGACACCTTGGAGCTACGCACATTTTCTGATAACTTCACAGTCATTAAAAAACTCTAACAGTGAACGAAAATTTCAAGAAAGCTCTGAATTCATTAACTTTATATTGTTAAACATAAAAGCCTTCAAAAAGCAGGACAATGAATTCCAAATGGACTGAATGTTGAAAAGGGAATTTTCTCAGCTGACACTATGAGCGTTGATTGAAAAGGGAATGAGAAAACGTGCATTTGAGTAGCCGTGGGTTGATTTCTAATGATATCCATATAGTCCTAAGCAAAATATTTCTAAGTCCCTGGTACTATTTTCTAAGAGATCTGTAAAATGTTTTATGGGTTTTTATACAAATTGTGGGGGGAAATGTGCACCACAGAATTTTTTTTTTTAAATAAAATGAAATTGCTGTCGGGTCACAGATGAAGCTCTGGGAAGAAGCTGTGAAATTGAAACACAAAGTGCTTTACGGCAAACAGAGCACGGGAGAGCAGGCTGCTGCGCACTTGCAGAACCCGTTTCTGGCCCCGGTCTTACTCATTCCCCTGAGGCCTGGTGAGCAGCTCCCAGGAGGTCCTCCTCGTGGTCACAGGGCAGGTGGACTGGCTGAGGCTGAGATGGACAACCTCCACGCAGACCTTCACATGTTTTGTCTTTCCTTCTCTGCAGGGGGTGCAGCTTTTATTTTCCCAAATACTTCAGTATATCCTGAAGCCACGCAAAGAATTACAACTAGGCCAGGTACGCCAACAGCCCCGCGTGACCTCCACTGAGAGAGCCCAGATGTCCCGCTGACATCCGGGACCTAAGTCCCATGATACAGAGAGCCGATCCCGATCTGAAATGAGTCCCCACAGTCTTATTGCTGCCCCTGTTGATTCAAAAACTAAATCCAGTGTAAGCACAGCATTCAAAGACCCAGGAGAGTCTGAACTTCTGAGTTAGAAGAACATTAGCTCTATCACTCGCTGCTCTGAAGACAGATGGCCAACAAAGGCCCCAGGGTGCCTGAGAAAAAGTAATACGTGTGATTTCGGGTTAATGGAAGGACCACTGTGTCATCTGTCCTCGGGGGAGAGCACGAAGCAAGAGGCATCCCCAGAGCTGTAGTGACCAAATTCCCAGCTTGGCACGGGAAGCCAATCTTTAGAGCGGGAGCACAGGATAGATAATACTTACCTCTGAATCTTACTTGTAAGAAGGTTCACTTAGGTGATTGATTTACATGTCACTCACCCCAAAATAAACGTTCATTGAGTGTCTCTTAGTGCCAAGCATGAAGTTAGACCCTGGGACTACAGACATGAACCAGACCCCAGGAGGCTGGCTGTCTTTGGAGAGCTCACCTGCCTACTGGGCTCTTTGGTCTGTTCAGTGCTGAGTGTCCCCTGCACGGCCACAGAGGGCACAGCTGTGAGCCAGAGGAAATGCTTAAATTTCTAGATGCTTCAGTAGGGCACTTAGAGCCAGAGGAGCAGACATGGACTCTTAAATGCTTAACCTGGAGAGCTGGATCTTACAGCAGAGGTCCCCCTGTAGCTGGAAAACCCAGAGGGGGCAGCCGCAGGAGCCGGGAGGGATTCAGCCCACCTGAGAGGTGTAAGGAGCTTCCCACAGGATGGGCAAGGCCCGAGGAGGACCAGGCCTTTGCCAGGTGGAGAGTGAGCAGGAGAGGGCACCTGAGACCAAGGGTGCTGCCATCCCTGGACACCATCCCCCCAGCATCTTCAGGACCACCTGTGAGCTAAGTGTACTAGTGCCAGCTCACGGTGGAGGAGGTCGTGATCCTGGGCACTGGCTGGTTTCTCCATATTTAAATGTGGGTCCAGAACCCGTGTCGGAATTCCAAGACCCAGGCTGCCCTCTAACTCTGTCCACACCCAGCCGCATCAGCCTCAGCTGAAGTGGTCCGAGTGGCTCTGCGGCTGCTTTCCCATGATGAGGACGGGGTGAGGAGCTGGACGGGCGTGGACCTGGAGCTCTCTGGGGAGGCTTCTACCTCTGTACTGCCCTGTGACTGCCATGGGGACTCTGCTAGTGATTTTCTCTCCCCCAATCTGAGATTAAAAGCTTGTTCCCCTGCTCCTGGGAAGCACGGTGGGAAGGCTGAGCTCACGTCCTTACCTGTCATGTTAGAGGCCATCGATATGCCCACAGGACCTAGAGTCTGCAATAAACCAGATTGGTCCCAAAGAACCCCACCAAGTGTATTGGAAATGAAAAACAAGTACCTCGCCTCTGGCTCTAGAGACTTCTGAGTTCACGGCTAGCAAGTGCGCGTGGGGGTAAACACAGGGAAGGGCGGCAGCGACATTGTGAGCACTTCAGAGATGTTTCCATCCATACTTGAGAAAAGTAAAACTTATCTGCAAAACATTTAGCCTTTAAGAAATGGTCAGTTGGGCTGGGGATGTAGCTGAGGGGTAGAGAGCTGGCCTGGCAGGCATGAGGCCCTTGGTTCAGTCCCTAGTACCTCCTCCCCCTCAAAAAAGAATGAATTAACTTTTAAAACTCGTTTGTTTCAAGCTATCTCGTGGATGTCACCTGCTGAGTTTCAAGGCCTGGGCTTGTGAGCTCATGTTGTGAGTTGACCACATCATTGGCCAACTCTGTTGGCCTAACCCATTGGTCAGACCAGCTGGTTGGTAGAACAGCAGGCCCTGCCATACTTTCTTCATGTTTTGGAATGTGGTAGACCCAGAAGTTGTGGCTCACCCAGAAGTATCAAAAGGAGGGTGGCAGCAGAGGAGATGCTGGCCTCCCTCTGTCCCTAAGCCCAGGGAGGGCCAGGGTGACAAATTCCAACTTCACCCATTGCTTTGATGGTGCCCTTCCATGGGCCCATCGTTTAAGCAGACTTGGGAGGTCTCACACTTTCACTGCTCCCTTATTATTAGCACAGTCTGCTTCTGGGACTTGATTTGTCTTTAGAAATTCCCATTTTGATTACTACCACTGTCATTATGAAAATACATACAAGTATTGGTATCTGACTTGTAAAGAATGTAAATCAGACTGGAGAAGCCAGAGGACTATTACTGTAGGCCAGATTCAGGGATTTGACCTTGTGGCTCAGCCATCGCCAAAGAATCAGCCACTCAGCCGCAGGGCCTAAGAGGTTGGGATTGGGCCTCAGGGAGAATGAGCCTGGTACTTGTGATCCCCACAGTGGCAGGAGTCACGGAGGAAGGACCACTGGGAATCTAGCCCTGTCCCTGTGGTCAGTGGCTTTCAGAAGAGATGACTGTTAACTCTTAGACTCTAACCTGGGAGTAGAGCCCCAAGTTCCTGTCCCCTACACCCTTGTGATCTTCATGGGATGAGGCACAGAGGACCCTGGCTGGCGTCCTTGTGCTGACCCTGAACCAAGCCAGGTTCCTAGCAGAAAGTCTGTCGAGACCCTTCTGTGCACTCGGCTGTTCACCGCAGAGTCCCTGTAGGAGAAGCGTGATGATGGTCTTCCCGCTGTGCTAGTCTGAATAGCATTCTCCTTTCTGTGAGGCCCCTCCACCTGCGGGTGTCTCCGTCCAGTCCTCCTCCTGGTGCCCCCTCCCCACCCTGCCTCCTTTCCCTCCTGCCTTGGGTCACCCCTTCCTGGGCTGCTATCCCAGTCTGCCTTTTCCTTTTTTCATGGCTGAACTTCCTCAGTGAATCATTGATTCCAGAGCCCCTGTCCTTCAGTCCCACCTCATGGTTGGCCAAGACTGTTCAGCGACCCTGCAGGTGGCCACCTCTGCTTGGTGCTCCCCTCCTTTGCTCATGCCTCATCCCTTCTAGCCCCTACTTGTCCCTGTACTTTCCTGATTCGAAACACACCTTCCATGACCCCTGTGTTGCATTAGCACTAAGATCAGTCTCTATAAAATATTGGCACAGAGACACGTTATTTACATACTGTGGTTTTATGGTCATTATTGTACAGTACTGTGTTTTTTGAGTTGTCACAGTTATTGCTACCAGAAACCCTTTCCCCCTCCTCTGTAAACACTTTTCTCCTTTGCTGATTCTGCTCCTTTTGAAGCCACAGCCCCTTGAGATCTCAGGATAAAAACAGGTGTGAGCCACAGAACATTGCAAAGTATTCGACCTCATGATGCACCGTCTGCCTGGTCTCGTAGGAGCAGTCCTACAAAGCTCCGTTCTGTCACAAGGGTGACATTCTACTAGCACTTCCTTCCTCCTGCATCACCATGACAACTCGGATATCTGGCTGAGCATCTGCATGTTATCAAAGGCGACTGAAGAGTGTGACCTGCACACACAGCCTTGATTTCTACTCTGAAGCTGCTGTTCTTTGGGAGTTTCTTGGGATCTTAAATCACCCCTGCATTGGCGCTCTCAGCTCAGTGCTGCTCAGTGTGACCAAGCACGGCGGGAGAGTGCGCCAGCTCTCAGGTGCCGGGGAAAGCCTGCATGCATCTTAGCAGATGTTCCAGGTGTTCTTTGCTTCCCCATAGCTATACCAGAACCACAGAACTGCACACCTGGGCAAGAAGAGAATGCAAACAGGATTCTAGAAGACTTTAGGAAGATCTGGAGGAAGACAAGAAAGATGAGCTTAATGACTTGAGGGCTGACTCTCAATCTCTTCCACTGAACAGGAGTTTATAGAATGAATCTGGGAAATAGCTCTCAGTCTTTCCAAGTTTGTCTTCCCCGTTGGCATCCGAGCATGTGGGAGAGGGCCAGTCTCCTCCTTTCTCAGCCAGCCCTGCCAGGGGCCTCCGCAGTGGCTTTGCAAACCGGGCATGGATCCTGTGCAAGTGAGCTCTTCTGTGATCCTGGTTCTGGACTTTTAAAAGGCAGAAGTGATCGGGAGGCTTCTAGTGTGCTCCGTTTCAGTGAGCTGGGGGGAAGGAGAACCGAGAACTTGGTGAGAACTCAGCCTTCCTGGGAAGGGCAGCCCGGACGTCCTGATTTGCTGATGTCTTGGGAAGATGCCGTGGGAAGGAGCCTCACCCAGAATCAGAAACTCATCCTGTTCCCAGGAAATGTACCCCTCCATCTCTCTCGGGTGTCGAGAAGCAGCACCCACCAGGCTCCCTGGTGCCGTCACATTATTTCTTGTCTGGATCACGGTGTGTAGCACACTTTACAGTCACCCCAAGATGCCTGGGAAGTCGTTTTGATGAAGTTTAGCTCCTAAACCCTGTCTTGTGCCGGTGGAAGAGCACAACGAAGCCAGACGGCAGCTTTCCCACCCACGGAACCTTCCGGGGACGTCACTTTTTAGGGCACCAAGAGTGGAACTACTCACCCTGGTGTGGCGCTAGAGCCATCACCCTGTGTCCCTCACACCAGTCGTCCCCAGTGTCAGCGCTTGCCAGTGTCACGTCCCACAGAGGGCAGCTCCGTGCCACAGCATGTGATCCGTATCTGACAAGGAAGGCCAGCCCAGAATGTCATGAAGGAAACAAAAGGGAGCTTATCTGCCGTGGCAGCGTGTTTATGGACACGTCCATCAGGGCCCAGCGACGTCTCAAGCATTTGGCTGAGAGTTCGATGCTGTCTGGTGTGTTCAGGCCCCGGCTTATTATCTAGGGAGGAGAGGACGTGTTTATTCATCCTAAAAAGGATTTTTATGAATAAAGAGTTTGAAAATATTTTTGTAGTCATAGTTTGGTGCTTGATGTTTTTCCAGTCACACTTCATCTGCGAAGCTTTTCGGTTCGCAGTCGTGTCTGAGCTACCTAGGGACGCCAGCGAGAGCCGAGGCACAGTCCCCCGGCGCAGGGAGAAGGAGGCGCTCTAGAGCTCTCGGCCATCTTTGAAATTTGTAGTGGCGCCCTCCAGAGAGCATTCTGAAATCATTACCTGCAAGAATGTGGAATCAAGAGGACCCAAGGAAATTCCCGAGTGGTGGCTTTCTCAGAACTCCAGTGTGCACCCAGGTCACCTGGAATCTTATTAAAATGCCAAATCTGACTCAGTAGGTCTGGAGTAAGATTAGACATTTTTAACTGACGCCCAAGTGCTGCCGATGTTGTTGGTCCATGGACCACAGTTTAAGAAACAAGGATCCAGGACATATTTCCATGGTATCTTGCTTTTTCATTTGGTAAATATGTGCCTGTCTGCTCATGAATCGGGGTAGATGTTGCATTACTCGTAGAGTCTTCTTTCTGAGACAATTCTCATATTGAGACTCTGGCTAACCTTTTTTTTAAGAATCTGTACAGTGCAAAATGCTCCCAGAGAGTTCGGTTGAAATTTAGTTGTAAATTGATAGCGGCTGCAAATGTAATTCCCACGTGCAATCCCAACTCCAGAAAAGTGAAACTCCGAGGAGCTGGGTGGGAAAAGCTGAAGGTCTCCTGCAAGACTGCCAGCAGAGAAGGAAAGTGAGCAACAGCAAGTTTAAAAAGAAAAATTATCTAACCCTTCAAAGCTCAGGAGGGTAGGGTTTCAGAGACCACCCCAGTCGCAATGCTTGCAGCCAAACAGACCAAATAAATTAAGGCAATCCTGTGTTGGATTTCACATCACATATCACTTCTGCTCTCTTTGGGATATGAAAATAGGAAGAGACACATGCTCAGCAACTTGGTCAAGCTCTTTGAAGACTGACCCACCCCAATGCCATTTTTAAATTTGATTAAATGATTTGTTTAAAGAGAGGCTTAAAGATGACCGCACTGCCTGCCCTCCAAGTGAGATTTTTATAGCCATCTCCTGCTGTCTGGAAGGAGAACACCTATGGCTATGGCTTTCAGTTGGCCCCAGGTTGGCATTTGCATTGAACTGAGGCCCATGGATCCAAGAAGCAGTTGTGAAATGACTCTGTAATCAGATTGCAGGAGGAACAGCTTTGCATATGCATAGTGAGTGAGAGCAGGCATAATAATATTTTTGAAATATATTTTTTAAAGAAACTTGAAATAACATAGAGTCTTGGTGCTCATTAATAGAACTCACACTGAGGAGGCAGAAACACAGTTATTAGATTTACTCTGCAAAGTGCAATGGAGGTTTATGGACAAGTGAGATCACCATACAAACACGAAGAAATCATGGAGTAAGATTTGACATTTCTAACTAACTCCCAAGTGCTGCTGATGTTGTTGGTCCGTGGACCATGGTTTAAGAAACAAGGACCCAGGACATATTTTCATTGACGTGTCCTTAGCTCTGAAGGTCATCATTAAATAGGTTGTGGGGCAATTCTGTAGTTCTTGTGATGTCCTCTAATTCATTTCATACAATTAATTTTAGAGACATTCTAAATTTGTTTGGAAAAGGGGAAAGAATGGACATTTGCCTAGAAACATAACTAGACCAGTTACGACTGGCAGTGTAAACAGATGGAAAAATGGGAGGAAACCACGGGCGTCAACTCACAAATGTGAGGATCGAAGGAAGCAATGGTTCCTAGGGATGGGAAGGAGGAGTCCAGATGCCTCTTGATGGATTTTGATGCAGACCACAAACAAGAAGTGGGTGAATCAGCTAAGCTGCGGATTCTGTTTGGGAGGGTCATCCAATAGAGGGGTGGATTTGGGTCTGTCCAAGATGCAAGCAGAACAAATTAGATGGTAAAAAACAAAAACAAAAACAAAAAACAACTTTAACATGGCCTCGACCTCTGATTGGAGAAAAAATGCTTCAGAAGAGTCAGCAAGCTCCGGAGGAATCTGCCAATAGGAATTTTCAGATAAATGGAAGAGAGAATGTATAATTTTGTACATTCTGTTATGCCAACAAAATATACAAAAGTATAATTTGTACATAGAACCAAGATCTATGGCACATAGGTTGAATGCTGCTTTCTATTACTAGACTTTCTTATAAGCTATTTATTCTAATAAACATAAAATCTTTTTTTAAAATCTGTTAGAAAAATTGCATTATTGGGTTTTTGAGTCAACTTTTTTGTCTTTCCAGATTTACCTTATGAGCCTCCCAGGAGATCAGCCTGGACCAGTCATGGCCACCCCACCCCTCAGTCAAAAGGTACAGAGTTGTCTCCCTCTGCCTTGATCTGCATGTCACCAGGTGTGTGTGACTGCTGATGGAGTAAATGACAATTTAATTAATCTATGATTTTCAACAAGTGGTTGGCTTATTCCTTTGGCAACAAAGCACAACCAACTGTAAATGCTGTGATTCTCTGGGTTAGACCTACCTTCGGAACAGAAAGGAGGGAATGAGGTGCGTGTTTGACAAGATGTCTGAGGACAGACCCAATGACTGGTGTTTTCCTTAATTTTGGCTCTGCCTCACTTTATTTTCCTGATGGTTTCTCTTTTATCTGTTTATTTTACATTACGAATCATTTTTTTTCCTATTCTATAAAACGTCTCAAATTCTTCCTTTTTTTATTTTTGGAAGGAATAAGGTAGTCACAAAATTTTTAAATAATGGAAAATTTAAATCCTTCTTTTTGTTACAATGTCTTCATTTGATCTCATGGAAAGGGAAATTTGTCCTCACCGTAAGTTGCTTCTTGTTAAAAGAGTCAGATTATTGTCTTAATAATGAAAGTAATTGATGGAACCATTATGTAATCAACAACATCAAACCAAACCTAAGTTATAGCCAGTTCTCTTTTTGTGTGTTTGAATTTCCAGCTGCTCAGCCGTCTCCTTCCACAGTGCCCAAAACTGAAGACCAACGTCCTCAACTAGGTATGTTTCAGGACCCCTCCGGATGGGCATAGAGAGGACCCAGGCCCAGCAGGGAACGTCTAAAACATGCCATCTTTGAAAAGAACTTAGTTTATGTCTTTCTTCTTTGCGACAGTTTCATATATAAACCAGGGGCCAAAGAGTCTGTCCGCTCTTTTGGGATGACTTGAGATTTAGCTGAAAAATGGGGGGAAAAAAGTATTTGTGTGCAGGCTGCCTTTGAGATCTACAAATTCATTTAACTTTACTTCCTGTGCCCGGTGCCCCAGGTGGAAAATCAGAGGAAGGTCCATGTGGCCCTGAGCTGAAATGGCCAGCCTGGGCCCTCAGCACAAGTTCATAGCCCTGTTCTGGTCCTGGGTTAGAAGGAGCTGTGGGCCAGGTTTCGGGAATCTGGGAATCCAAGTCCTGCTACTACCTAGGAAGCCTTTAGCAAGAAGCATCTCTGGGATTCCGTGTGGCACCTCCTAAAGGAGATGGAGGCAGGTGCTTTGGGGACAGGGAACGATTTCTGTTCTGAAATACAGAAATTGGTTCTGTTAGCCCGAAGACTCAGGGTACCAAGTCACAGTGATGCCTTTGGATCTGACTTCTTGTCTTTCTGCTGTAGATCCTTACCAGATTCTTGGACCAACAAGTAGCCGCCTTGCTAACCCAGGTGAGATATCTGATGATTTTGTTCGCACACATTACTCTTCAGGTGGTTTTGGCTGTTGTGAAGGCAAGCGTGTACTGGTGAGAAATTCCTTCAGCTGAACAAACTGTAGTCTCAGGTTTCACTGGATCGTTTGCTTTAGGGGAAAAACAGGTCGGGGTATAAATTAAGATTCTTAGCTTCAGCGAAGAGCATTGTGACCTAATCTAAGCTGTAACTTTTCTAGGGCTGTTGTAACAAGTACTATGGAGCAGGTTGCTTAATAACAGAAAGAATCCTCCAGAGGCTGCAGGTCTGACGTCCACACGCGTGGTGGCAGCCTCTGGGGGCTGTGAGGGAGGACCTGCCACAGGCCGCCCTCCCTCCTTCGATGTCTTTTTGTTGCTGTTGTTGTACCGGGGATTAAACTTGGGCCCTCGACCACTGAGCCACACCCCCAGCCCTACTTTGTATTTTATTTAGAGGCAGGGTCTGCCTGAGTTGCTTAGCACCTCGCCTTTGCTGAGGCTGGCTTTGAACTCACGATCCTCCAGCCTCCCGGAGCCTCTGGGATGACAGGCGTGTGCCACTGCATCCAGCTCCTGTATCTCTTTTTATGATCTTCCCTCTTTATGTGTCTGTGTGTCCAGATTCCCCCTTTCTATAAGGACACCAGTCACATTGAAATAGGGCCTCCTCCAGTGACCTCACTTTAACTTAATGATCTCTGTAAAAACAAAGGCTCTGGGGGCTAAGACTGTGATGGGTGGATTTGGGTCACACGCATTTCAGGTATAGGAATTAGGGTTCTGGGGCTAAGACTTTTGACATGTGAATTTGGGGGGGGCGCGGCACAATTCAATCCATCACACATGCAGATAAAATAACTCATCTTTTTTAAAAAGGAGACTCTTAATGACAACCACAAGACTTCAAAGTAGGACCCTCTTCCATCCTCTGTTTCTGAATCTAAACACTAGAATAAGGAGTTTAAATGCCTCCTTGGTCCATTTGTAGCCAGCGTCTGGCTACAGCACATCACCTGTCCTCATGTTTCCGTGCCAACCCAATCGTCCCATTTGTGTTCAGATCAGAACCAGCTGTGCAGGCCCCCGGGCGTGCACTGCACCTGGGGCACGTTCTCAGCAGCAGTCAAGTGCGAGATGTCCTGGTCAGTCACAGGGCGAGTCCAGGCTGCAGTGTGCCTTGCCTAACTCTGAGGCAGAATGGGTTGGGACGCCAGCAAGTTCAGGTTCAGGTGGAGGCCTTCCCCGCTCAAGAATCCCTGCTTGGAAAACACCAGCAACGGGCTCTTTGACATGGAATTGTGGGCAGCACTAATTAATTCAACAAATGCCTTTTAAGCAGCTGAGTAGCTAGAGGGGACTGTTTCCTTCACTGCTTTAGCCTTGGGCTCAAACTAGGAGCTCATCCATGATTCCTAGAGTCCCTGAATGCCAAGAGTCAAGAGAGGTGGCCCTGGCCTCGGATGCAGGTCGGTATAATGCTCCAGGCCAGAGCAGCAGGCTCCTTTCTCTAAAACCCCAGGTCTCCACAGGGGTCCCTCCCCATCCCTCTGCTCTGCCTTCCATTTGCAACTGGCTCATAACCATTTACATAAAAATAATGGCTGTGTTTTGAGAGGATTATAATCAGTCATGCTCCAGGAAGACGGATCTGACAGCAATGTTCTTAGGACAGCTTAGAAAGACGGAGCATGTGGAAGCTGAGCACTCTGGGAACGCTCACACCATCCATCGTGTGAGACAGCAGTCCAGCAGCTCCCACAGATGCCCCCACAGTATGTACCATGCCTCTGAGCCCTTCTGTGCCTTCTGCCAGCCCTGGGAGATTGTTATCTCCAGCCTACAAAAGAAGAGTCAGAGGAACAGAGAAGTCAAGTAACTCTCCCTGAGTCACTCAGCCAAAAAGATGGGAGGCCTGCTTTGAAATCTGTCTCTAGTCTGTTTCTGGTCCCACACGCACTACCCGCAACTTGCTTATTAGCACCTTGCTTTTGCTGAGGCTTCTTGGGGAAGTCCTGCTGTTTGTCAGGGGATGGGAGTATGTGTTCTTCCAGTGGGAGTTCACCAAGCTTCAGGGAGGGGACAGTCCTAGCAGGGCCTGAGGGACTAAGGAGGGGTGTGCAGAAGCCAGGCCAGAGAGCAATGGCTTGTGCAGGACTGAGCACGGCAGCCTGGGGCCGGGGTTCCAACCTCTGCCCACCGTGGGCAACAAAGTCAGTTCTGAGCTCCAGTGTCCTGTGGCTCCAATGGGCTAATCTCATGATTCTATGGGCATTAACCTGTCACTTGTAAGGATTTAGGACAGTGCCTAGCCCAGAGTAAGCTTTCAGAGGATCTCAGGAAGTTCCGAGAACACCAATATCTTAAGCGTCAGAAGAGCCAGCAGAGTGCTGCTGGGCAAGTCCCCTTCCTCTTCAGTGAAGAGACACCTTTACTCACTCTGGTTTCCAGCCCAGACAACCATAACGAGATTCCCGAACTGAGTTCATTCTTACAGTGACCTGCAAGGTGGGCCTTCTGCTGTCCCACCCACTTTGCAGAAGAGACAACTGAGGTGCAGAGAGCCAGGGAGTTCCCCAGAGTCCCATGAGCAGCAAAGCCAAGATTGAGCAGCCCAGGCCCACACATGCTCACCTGTCATCCAGCTCTAGAGCTCAGGGAAGGGGCTCCCATGGAGACACCCCTGCCTCCATGCAGAGGGTCCAGCTGTGCTGTGCTTCTCTGCACCTCCTCCACCTTCTGTAAAAACTGGCCCCAGACCACTGCCACCTTGGGGCATGCTGTTCGCTTTCTTTATGCCCTTGGTTCTGGTCAGCTGAGGGCTGTAGGCCTCAGTGGGACAGTGGGACAGTGTCCACCTGCAACACTCTGCCTTGCTATGTTTTGGGGACTGTTTAGTTTCTTGCCCTTTTTGCTAAGTTTCTACTTCGTTGCTAGGATGTTCCTCTTTTTCTTGACTATTGGGAGACAACAGTGACTTGTCACCTACCACTGTGTGTCCTTGAGGGTTCTTGCACAGTGAGAGCCTTCGCGGCCTACACTGGAAATGCAAAGCATTTGGTTCAGAGTGTTAAATTTAGCAATTAATGAGGCCGATAGCGTGTTAAATTCTATGCTGTTCATTCAAACTTGCACTAAGTTTTACGTCTGTAGTTTAATTCTCAGGTTTGGAAGCTGCTGAATCTTGCTCCCCTATCTCTTGGTTCCACAGAGCCTTGGGGTGCTCCTAGGCCTGACCCCAGTGCCTTGCCAGTCAGTGGGTGAAGTGGCCTAGCAGGCCGTTGGCACGCCTGTCTGCCCAGCTTGAGTTTCCTGCCCTGGATGTAGACCCCCACTCTCTAGCTCCTCAGAGGCAGGAGAGGTATGAGCCCACAATCCCCCACTGGTTCCCTCCCATCATGTTGGTGGGGGCAGTGGGTGAGGGACACATTTCTTAGAGGTGACGACAATGCTTGAACAGACACCAAGTGCTCTTTGAGCTGTGTAGGCAGGTCTGTGTGTTTATGCAGATCTGTGGAGTTGCTCTATGGGAGCAAGTTGACACTGAATATTTATTTTCAAACAACTGTATATGTTTATAGTGAAGCATATGTTAGACTGTTAAATCAAACATCCATGGTTTTTCCTATTCCCAGGTCAACTGTGGAATTCTTTTTTCAAGTTTTAATCCTTTGGTTACAATATATATACTAAAACCATATGGTTCTCTCATACCATTCTTTGTATTTTAAAAAATGCATATTAATGAAATGTTGGAAGGAACACAACTTGATTGGGAACAGTTTGTATATGTAGTTCCGAAAAAGCAGAGACTTCCATTGCGATGAGCTACAAGCTGTTAATATGTTTCAAATGTACTGCCGGCTAAAGACCATCTTTTCCAGAATAGATGTATTTTTTTAAAAGCTGACCTTTCTCACGATGCTATAGTAAGGATGAGTTCACAAACAACCACTTCCATGTAGCCAAAGTGGAAACAAGGATTTATGAGTTGGACAATTATATAGGGAGCCATGGGAAGAATTTATGGGAAAAAAAATTTATCATTGATTTTCACATGACATCAATTCCCTGAGTAGTTGCCAGTTGAAGTTATTTTAATCATTTTATCACATCTATTGATCCTATTTATCATATTAAAGAAGGTAATTTTTTTTTTTTTTTTTTGGCATTAAGCCCAAGATAATTCTGTAGTGGGGTTTTGAGAAGACCCACCTCTCATCCATTTTAAAGCTTCTAAAGCCTGTGCCACACAGCTCAGCTTCTCTGGGCTCGTGATGGCTGTCAGTACTTACATCACCTCTCCTTAGGGAGCCGTGAGTGGACTTAAAGCACTGTAGCATGATGGTCAGAACGACAGGGCCAGGAATTTCTCTGATTTAAGAAAACCAAAGGCCATCTCTATGTGCTTGCGATGGATGGAGAGAATCCCGACTTTGTCCTCGCAGCTGAGTGGCAGCACTCTGGGCCGGTCTCCTTTGCTGCCCAGAAGGACTTGCCGCGGTATAACGTTGGGGGGTTTCTCTCGGGAACACTGCTTCACAGTCGGTGTGGCCAGCACGTGGATTTCCGTTGCCCTGTGCTGGCCTCTGTACTGGAAATGGGTGATCTGGTTTGAAATGGAGCCAACGTTTTTCTGAACTTCCTCATTTTGAGTGGGTTAATTCTGTGTTAGGAAAAGTTTTGACAGAATTGCTTTCTGGGCACCAGCAAAATGTTTTGTCAGAAATAACAGTGTTTACTTCCATTCTCTATTTTTTTCCATAAACATTTAGATGTTCATTTCCGAAATCTGACTTTTATTATTTCACTTGACCTAGCCAATATAAATAGTATTAAGTCATTATGACCATCCACAGAATGGCATTCTCTGCCTTAGAAAATAGGAAAAATTAGCTTTTCCGTCCCCCAAACACCAGGCTGACCTGGCTGTTCTCTGAAGGAAATCAGAAATGGATGGAACCAACCTGAACTTTGCCCCATGTGAATTTCCTGCATTCCATAGGGGACTTGGATCTCTCTGATGAGCCTGAGAATGACCAAGGTCAGCTTCCTAGGTGTCGAGCTGGGGATGAGGCTACTGGGCCAGTCATGGTCAAAGGCGTGTTCTCAACAGGGAAGGCTGAGGAAGCAGCGTGGAGACTAAGGAGGTTCCAGATTTCTTAAAGCCTCCTTGAATCTGGACCCCAGCTTCCACCTGGTCCTGTGGGAGTGGGGAGCAGACCTGCAGTGTAGGTCCTTTCTTGAGGCAAAGGGCTGTCCTGTAGTTCCTGGGTCATTCTGACCAGGGGACACCTGGGGAGATGAGCAGCCCCTGTCCATCCAGGCCATCTCTCTGGAGCAGTGGGTGACCACAGGACAAGAGCAGGAACACCCCAGCTGCTGAAGGATGGGGGAAGGCCTGGCCCAGGGCATCTGGGTGGCATGGGAAGAGCGCCAGCTGCTGCCCCGGGCCAGGTGCCCACCGCTCAGAGCCTGTTCTCACTGGTGCTTTCTGTCCTCCCTCTTCACTAGGTAGTGGCCAGATCCAGCTCTGGCAGTTTCTCCTGGAGCTCCTGTCTGACAGCTCCAACTCCAACTGCATCACCTGGGAAGGCACCAACGGGGAGTTCAAGATGACAGACCCCGACGAGGTGGCCCGGCGCTGGGGAGAGCGGAAAAGCAAACCCAACATGAACTACGATAAACTCAGCCGCGCCCTCCGTTACTACTACGACAAGAACATCATGACCAAAGTCCACGGGAAGCGCTACGCCTACAAGTTCGACTTCCACGGGATCGCCCAGGCCCTGCAGCCCCACCCGCCAGAATCCTCTCTGTACAAGTACCCCTCAGACCTCCCCTACATGGGCTCCTACCACGCCCACCCTCAGAAGATGAACTTTGTGGCGCCCCACCCTCCAGCCCTCCCCGTCACATCCTCCAGTTTCTTTGCTGCCCCAAACCCCTACTGGAATTCACCCACTGGGGGCATATACCCGAACACCAGGCTGCCCGCCGGCCACATGCCTTCCCACCTGGGCACTTACTACTAACCCCTCGATGGAGGCCTTTCCCAACAGTGTACAATCGCCGATCAATTGCCACAAACTCTGTCGGAGAACATGAATTAGAAGTGCCTCAAGCCGGAGGAAAAAGCTTGATGGGCTGGGGAAGGGAGCCAGGGAAGAGACCCAAAGACTCATGGCGGGAGGGAGTTACTAAAGTGTTACTACAGAAATAAGATGCTCAAAGTGTAATGCATATGGATGTAGGATCTGTGGACCAACCGTGACAAAGACATTGTGTGCAGCAAGCAGGAAGTCCTGAGGACAAGTGCCAAAGGAAGTGGCCTTAAGTAGTGTATGAACTGTAGAGTAGAATGTGGGATCCCGCTCATGCGACCCAGGTTTAAACTAAAGCAATAGAGATAACACAGTCTTGGCCTAACCTACCGTTTATAATGTCATTTTAAGGAAAACTACCTGTATTTAAAATAGAAACATATCAAAGCCAAAACAAGAAGACGAGAGAGACTGTGGCCCCGCAACAGACATTGCCGGGGCTCCTCGGCATTTGCTGCATCAGTTGGAATCCGATTTGTTCCATTTGATAGACAGCTGTCAGCTCTCTCAAACTGTGAAGACAACCCAAAGTTTCCATCTCCTTTACAGGACTGCAGGAACTATGAGCCAAATGGTGGGACTGCGGATGTGTATAGAGTGGGCGTGTTATGGTAGACAGAGGGCTGGAGGAGGAGGACGAGGAGGAAGCAGAGGAGGAGGAGAGGAGGAGTGGGAGAGACTTTGATTCAAGCAGCAAAGACTGGATTTAGGACACTTTTGGTGGAGAAAGATTATTCGTGGAGACCTGAGGTTTAATGCAGTCAGTGTCATACCAAACCCAGTGTTACCAGAAAGGACCCAGTGTAATGGAGGAAGGGGAGTGGTAGAATTAAGAACCAAAACAGCCATCTCTTTGTTTGTCAAAAGAAAAATTTAACTGGAATTGCCTGATATTTAAAAGAAACGTTCAGGACCTCAGCATTCTGTAGGGGCCTTGTGCCCCACAGGGTCAGGTAAGAGTTGGCCTCTGGCCACCACAATCAGATCTCAAAGGCATTTTGGGGAGGTGGGGGTCCAGTTTTCCTTTTCGAGTCGCGAACGCTGTGCGTTTGTCAGAATGAAGTATACAAGTCAATGTGTTTTTTTTTTCCTTTTTATATAATAATTATATAACTTATGCATTTATACACTACGAGTTGATCTCGGCCAGCCAAAGACACACGACACACAAAAAAAAGAGACAATCAATGATACAATGTGGCCTTGAACTTTAACTCTGTATGCTTAATGTTTACAATATGAAGTTATTAGTTCTTAGAATGCAGAATGTATGTAATAAAATAAGCTTGGCCTAGCATGGCAAATCAGATTTACACAGGAGTCTGCATCTGCACTTTTTTAGTGACGAAAGTTGCCTAATAGAAACTTGTGCTGAGTGTTGTGGGTTTTGTGTTACAATTTTACTTTGTCCGGGAACTGATGCCAGTGGGGACCAAGCAGACAGGATGTTGGACAGGTGATGTGTGCCCCTCCTGACCCTCTTGCTTCCACCTTGATTCCCAGCACCATCTGCAACAGAAGGGCCCAAAGCTTCACCGTGAAACCTCCACATGTACACCTAGAAGGGAAAGAGGCTTCTAAAACTGAGGCTATAGTTGAGAAATTCCAGTGCAGCACTGGCCACAAATCACCCTAGTTTCTGCTATGATCATAAAACATTTGCAGAATGGTGAACAAGCCACTCCTGTGAACAAAAGCTGTTGTTACGATTGGTCAGTGAATCATCATGGACAGCTGCAGTTTTTCACTTCAGGGATAGCTTCTAAGTTTGCCATGTAGCTTCCTTCTGGGGTCCTCATCAACTAGACTAGTGCTCTGATCCTTCCATGCCAGAATAGTCAGGCACTGTGGTTTTGTGATTCCCCGGCCCTGGGCCTGAACTTCCCAGCTCTCCTCTCACATCCTGTTTCTGTGATCCAAACTCGATTTCCTTGAAGAACACCTTCTCTTTGTGTCACAAGTGCGGCCCACCTTGGCCAAGGTGAAGGTGATTCTGGAGAGGGGAGGCAAGTCACCTGTAAAAAGGAGCAAGCCTGTGCACCTTCTCAGCCTGAGTCAGTTTAAATTGGCCATTTTATAGCGGTTTCGGGGCTTGTTTTGCACTTTGTAATCCTTTTGCTATGATTAAACAAACTTGCCAAACCTCTGTGCTGTGCATATTTTGGCAATGGTCTTGAAACTCAGTAGGGTACGATTACCAAAGCTTCAGACATCCCTCATTATTTGGATGGAAAGGAGCCCAACCATCAATCATTCTGCAGCAGCTCGGGAAAGGCCCACAGAGGGCCTGCATCTCCTTAGGACACAATGAGGAAAAGCAGGGTAAAAGCTGGCAGCAGGGAGCGACCCAGACAGTCCTAATGGAAAAGAGCATTCGTTTCTATTTCGGAATGCAAATGCAAGGCTCACCTACATTCTGCATGTGTGAAATACAAGTTTGCTTGGCTAATCATTCAATTCTCCCTTTCAAGACTGTAATATGAGCAAAATAATAAAAACAAGACATGATTATCATATTCAATTCTAACAGATGTTTTAAGTTAGATTTCTCAAAACCCCTCCCTCAAATTCAGTTATTAGCCACAAGCGTGAGCAACTGGGATAATTTGAGGATAACATGATAATACTGAGTTCCCCCAAATAAATGATTCTTAAGTTGTCTTGAAATAATGGTGGTGCTCTGCTCCTGTCACAATCTAATTCCAAAGCCCCCCTGGATCAATTTCACAATTACATGATCCTTCCTCTCTCTAGGCTTCTCCGCATTTCCTGGCTCCTCCTTGTTGATGATCACAGTCCCTGCACAACTCCACTCCTGCTGGCAAGGGCTCTGTCTTCTCTTCTTGCCTTAAACAGTCTTTGGGGTTTCGTACTTGAAGAAATCCCCAAACCTCAGTCAAGGCCTCACCGCCACTCCCCGTCTGATGCCCTTGTTACATTTGGTGTGGGTTGTGGTGTGATCTGTCAGGACTGGCTCGGCTGGTCCTCTGCTTCTTCCAAGTGCCTCTGCACAGTTGAAGTACCTGCTGCTGGGTGCAAGGGCCTGGGGCAGCTACTCGGATGGCAGGTGCAGCACCAGTTGCTAATGCTTGTGAGCAGGGAATTGATGGGAAGCCGGAGATGATGGATGTCCTGTGGATCCCTGAACAGACCCTGCCCCTGCAGAAAAGGAGCAGCCTAAGGTTTTAAAAACTTGGTTTAATTAGTCTGTTATCACTCCACCCAAATAAAATTATGACAAATGGAGAATAAGAAGTGCTTTGGACGGTTCAAAGGTATATCAAGTTCTGCACTTTAACTTTGATTTCTAAAATCTTGTCATTTTCCCATTAAATGAGCAATATTGGATATAGAAATCAGTACTCAAAATGACCAGCACCTCTCTTTTGTAGTACAGCAGTGGTTTACACAGAGGAGCCTGGGCCAATGTATCAGCAACATCTAGCACCTGTAAGACAAGTGAATTTCCAGGAACTGCCCAAAGCCTGTTGAAAGAGGTTCTAGGGTGGGGCCCACCATGGCATTAATAAACCTTATAAGTGATTCTGATGCACACTGATGTTTGAGAAGCCCTGTCTTGGAAGCAAAGAAAGCCCGAGTCTCCTCATGGAATGTTGAGTATGAAATCCAGGGCTGTTTTTTTTCTGTAGCCAAATTAAAATCAGCCACTAAGAAAACTATCTTACCCTGAAAGAGTTGTCCCAAGTAGTGCCACCTATGAGCAACTATCCTCACCAGTGCTAACTTCTCCCTGTGCAATCAGCTGTTCATGGTGCATGACACATAACCACACAGTTGGCAGCTGACACAATGTACCGTTACAGTTTCTAGGGATCAAGAGTCCAGGTGTGTGCGGGGTGATTCAGTCCCATCAGGCTAAGTCAAGGAATTAGCTGGGGGCTGTAAACTCACCAGAAACTCAGGGTCCTTTCTGGTTCTTGGTGGAAATGAGTTCTCTGCCATTGTAAGACTGAACTCCTATGTCCTTACTGGTCAGTCAGGGACTAGTCTTAATTTTTAGAGATCATCCAGGGTTCCTGCCACATGGCCTTGTCCACAAGATCATTTACTCACTCAAGGACAGAGAGAGACTCCCACTTTGAGTCTCTCTGACTGGTTGAGGGTTCACCTGATTAGGATAGACCCACCCAAGAAAATCATCTTTTTTTTTTTTTTTTTTTTTTTTAGTTTGCAAAATCCTTACTGCCATAGAATGTAACTTAATCACAGGATTCGTGGCCCATCATAATCACAGGGTCTGCTCACACTAGTGATACTGGGGATGGGATGATTTGCTTTGAAACAATAGAAATGAAGCCTAGCCAACTATTGTGAGTACACACAGGCAAAGCTTTAATTAGCTAGAGGGAGACAGCACTGACCGAGAGCCCAGGCTGCTCTCTGAACAAAGGGAGATGCAAGCTTCTGTTGACTTGCTGGAGTGGGCAAGAGTCCCATAATCTCCCCTGGTCAATGGCGTAATTCCAAAAGATGTTTCTTGCTTGAGACCTGGACCAGCTGGTGGTCACTCTTGTTGCTGGTGCCATCAACGTGCAGACATCCTGGCCTTGTGGCTCTATCTGGGACCTGATGACAGGGCTGAAGGACTTTGGATGCTTGGGCTGCTGATGCTGCCGGAAACGCACGGGAGTGAGAGTAGAAGAAAACAGGTACCAGCTCCGTGGGCAGTCACCATGTCAACATGAGCAGACTCCCACCCCAAAGGCAAGGCAGCAAAGGGGGCAGACATGAGGACAGAGACCCCATTCATTCACCATCAGATTCTGTGGGCCCAAGTGAAGAGTCGTGGTTTCAGCAAAAGGGGGCTTCAAGTCCCTGAAACCGGCCTCAGTCACTATGATTGTAACTCACCATCAGAGGTGTCCTTTACACAAAGCCAGCAGGAGACTACAGCGTATTGTTCAAATGTGTGACTTCCAAAATTAATGATTTTTAAGTTGATTAAGTGAAGCTAGAAGGTTATTTAGAGTTTTCCCAATAACAATTTGATCTTGTGAAAACCTTTTGCTCCTGGGTTTTATCAGGCTCTCGCGGTGGGTCTGTTGAAAGGAGCTCAGGAGGAGAGAAGCAACACGCCCTGCTTCCCAGGCAACAGTCTCTGAGGCCTGAGGGGTCATTTCACTGTTCCAGCTTCTGCCCCTTCCATGGTGCTTCCTGTCTCTCACTGGGCATGTGGACAAGGGTGGGACTCTTGGGGGCCATATTAGAACTGAGCCTACACACCTTGGGTATCCTGCCTGTCTTTCTAGCATTTTGAAAGCCTTCTGGCCAACAAGTGTCCTTAATATGCACATTGTCTAGAAGACCAGCCACACTCACGTACCTTACTGAAGCCCAGCGATCCATCCCTCCTCCCTGCAGGCAGGGTGGCTCTCCATCCGATCTAATAGTTATAATCTGACGGATTTGAAGCTGTTCATGTCAGGAATGTCAGGCCCAATGCTAAGTTTTCATTTCTTGTTCTGTGTTCTTTTAAAAGAAAGAAAAGCAGTCCAAGTTACTGCTATAGAGAAACAAGTGTGTAAGCTTTTTAAACTTATCATTGTAATTATAAATTCCTCTTACTATGTAAAATAGCTTCATTTTCTCACAATATTTTTACAAACTATCATTCTGTAGACATATACCATAATATTAATTGATCATAATCTTTGCTAGAACATATTGAATTACAGGTCTGTGCAGGAAGCATGGTTTACATAGAAATAAACAAGTTTTTCATGTTTTGTAACAACATAGCATTGTCCCTTAAGAATACCGGAAAAGTATGGATCAAGAGCATTGATTAAAATATCTATGCATATTTTGGGGCTGGGGTTGTGGCTCAGTGGTAGAGTATGTGAGGTACTAGGTTCAATCCTGAGCACCACATAAAAATAAATAAATAAAATAAAGGTATTGTGCCCAACTACAAATAAAAAAGTAAAATAAAATAAAAAAGATCAATGTGTATTTGGAAGGGAGGTCAGGATCAAACTGCATGTCTCTTTCCTTGAATTTACTTGTTCATACTTTTCAGGAATACAGAACAGAAGGCACACTGAAGATAATTTCAGATGTCCTGGGGCTGACAATAGGTTACATGACAAATTCAGGATCCCAAAGAACAGGCAAGAGTGATGGGCTAGATCTTAAGATTCTGGAACCTCCATCCATATGTAAGCACCAGGGTGCTGGACTGAGCAGAAACTTGTGTGAAGAGGATTTCAGAGTCTTGGATATGATAGCGATAATATATAGAAGAGCCATCACCACATGAGTGACATATGGGCCAGACATGCCACACGCATTGCCTCATTACTCCTTCTCCTTCCAACTGCCCTCATGGCACAATTTTAAAAATCTGGAGAAACAATTTGCCTAGTTAGCCCAAGGTAAGAGGTAGAACTAAGTCTTGTTCAAGTGCTATCCAATCCCCAAACTTCTACTCTTAGTCTTAAGCTATTTTGCCTCATAGTGACAGAAAATCCAATGAAAGGGTGATGTGGCAGCTCAATCTCAGGTTTATATTTTCTGAAATAGATTGTGAAAAAGAATTATTTACTCTGCACTGAACAGATTCCCATATCAATTCTGGGCCTACCTATGAAGAGTGACATAAGCCAGCAAACTCACTGGAGAGAGACAGATGAGGGAACCCAAGGCTGTGCCACGGAGGACGACCTGGAGGGAAGGTTGTGTGTCTTTGCTGGGAGTGCTACTGCATTTATCACCCACTGACTCAGGACAAGCTTGGTGCCTGAAAGCAGTAAGCTGTGTTCATGAATGAACATGCAGAAAGGTGGTATTGGGACTAAAGGTGGGGTTGCCCATTAGTCCTACTCAAGGAAGAACTTTTTAATAGCTGTAGGAACTACAAATGGAATGACCAAACATTGTCCAGGAGTTCTCGGATACAGGTAAGGACATGTGATTGCCAGGCTTTTGGCAGCACATGGACTGTATGGCTCATTAGGTCTTTTGTCAATTCTATGCAACTTGGGTGCTGCAGTTATTAAATTACATATGGACCCACAGGAAACGCAGGAAGAGGCTCTGACATGAATAATGGTGCAGCAGCCTCTCTCTGGATCATTACCACTTAGTCCTAAGGGCAAGACCACATTAGGGTTTAAACATTAGAGG